GGGGGGTGAGACAAAAGAAAAGAAAGGAAAAAAAATAATGACTTACACCGCACTGGGGCAGGTCGTTGAGGCTCTGGGCCAGGGCCACGGAGGCACCGAGGGCAAGGATGGCGAAGGACTTCATTGTGGTATGTAAAGCAAGGTAGCAAGGTAGGATGCTGGAGCTAGGTTAAGAGGATGGATGGGCGGAGAGACAAGTGGGGGATTTGTAGTAGGTGAGGAGGAGATGCAGATGGGTGGCTGGAGAGGTTGGAAGATCAAGCTTTTATGTTTCTGGAGCAGCATGCAGGCACGACCATGATGACCATGTATGTAAACCTGATTTAGCAGGGGCCCCTGCGGCGATCTGCCTTGGATCCTGCCAGCCACCGCGTCGCACTCGGCAGGAAATTTCAACGTGCCACAGCAGCAATGGTCGTTTCGCGCTCTGCACCGGCCCACGTGATGCACTACCACCGCCCTTTCAAGCTTTTTCTCGATAACTCCCCGTCACCCCGTCTGGCCTGGCCCGCTCACCACCCGTCGCCATTGCATCATCTCCCGTCTCTAGCCTCCCAGCTCGACGTGCGCTTTGGCGTCCCCCTGTCCCTGCTCGTCTAGATGCTTCTGCTCCGCCGACGTGATGCACTGCATGTTCGCCCCGAGCTTGTTCATCGTCTCCATCCACTCGTCGTACGGGTCCGAGTCGAAGACGATGCCCCCGCCCGCCTGCAAGTAGGCCACGCCCTCCTTGACCATCATTGTGCGCAACGCAATGCACTGTTGCCGTTTTCTGTCAGTTGCCGCTCCGACTCTCTCTCCCTCTATCTCACACTCACGGGGGCTTGCTTACCGTGTCCATGGCTCCTTCCTCCTCGCGGCCGTCCGCCTTGACGCTGCCGTAGCCAAAGTAGCCCACCGCGCCCGCGTACACGCCGCGCTTCTCGCCCTCCAACTCGGCAATGAGCTCCATGGCCCGCACTTTCGGCGCCCCGCTCACCGTGCCCGCCGGGAAGATCGATCGGAACGCATCGAAGCGCGTCTTGTCTTCGCGCAGCACGCCCGATACTTCCGATACCAGATGCTGGACGTGCGAAAACTTCTGCACGACCATCAACCGATCTACCCGAGTCGACAGCGGGTCGCACACTCTGTTCACGTCATTCCGCGCAAGGTCCACCAGCATGACATGCTCAGCCCTATCCTTAAGCGAGCTCCGAAGCTCCTCGGCCAGTCTCTCGTCCTCCTCCATCGTCTTGCCGCGCTTGACTGTGCCCGCAATCGGGTGCGTGATGATCCGGCCCGTGTCGGCTCTGACCAGGAGCTCCGGGCTTGCACCGACGATCTGGAAGTCTTCGCAATCAAGGAAGAAAAGGTAGGGTGATGGGTTGACAGTCCGTAAGTGTCGGTAGATGTTGAACGGATGCAACGATGTGGGTCTTGAAAATCGCTGTGACGGCACGGCTTGAATGATGTCGCCCACCGCAATGTGCTCCTTCAGCTTCTTGACGTGTCCCTCGTAACCTTCCTGTCCGATGTTCGACGTGTACTGTTGATTTTGCTCAATCGGGCCCTGCGGGGGCAACTGGATGTCCTCGCTCTTCAGCTTCGCCACCGTCTCCAGCAACACGGCCTGTGCGGCGTTGTATGCGTCTTCCAAGTCATCCAGATTCTGGGGCACCTTCAGGTAAGTCACAACCTTGACCACCTGGAAAAAGTGGTCAAAGGCAACAATGGTGTCAAACAACATGAACAAGCTCTCGGGGACCTTGAGCACGTCCTTCAGGTCCCTCTTTGTCTTCGGCTCAAAATACCGCACGCAGTCATACCCCACGTAGCCAATGGCGCCGCCGGTCAAAGGAGGGAGTTTCATGGTGGGGATCGAGGCCACTCGCACCTCGGCGAGTTCCTTCTCGAGTGCCGGCAAGGGGTCGCATTCCTCGCCATGACCTGCGCCTGTCTTGAGGACTTTCCTCGGGTCTGTAGCCAAAATGTCAGGATGCGGTGCGCAGCAGGGAAGAAATCCCACAGACCTGCACCAACAAAGCTGTATCTTCCAATTGTCTCGGTAGTCGCGGCGCTCTCAAAGAGGAATGAAAGCTTCGACTTGGACCTTTCACCGTCTCAGTAAACAATTGTCCGGCCCTTGCCGCGGTGACTCACTCACTTGGCAGCTATCTTGAGGTAGATGGAGGCGGGCGTGAGGAATTCGGCGGAGATGGACGAGCAGATGGGAACGAGATTGGGCGGGTTTGGCACCTTCACGTAGGAAGACAGCACTTCGCGAACCGTGTCGAGCGACGGCTCGACGCCTAGCTTGAAGCGTGGTCAGCATGCGGTCCGCCGGGGGGGAAGGGGCGCGCGGGGGCGGGTAACTCACTCGCGATGCCATTGCTGGAAAGGATTGACGAGCAAGCAGCCAGCAAGCTGGGATTGATTGTCTCGGCGGTGTCGTGGGGTTGGTTGGTGGGTGGTGAGGCTGTCGCTCACATGGCCCCTCGTGAAATTTCGGGCTAGTGGCTAGGGCTGACAATCCGCCAATCCCTCCTCGCAACGTCACTTTCTCTTCAAAACATCCATTTCTTCACGCGTCTTTATTGCTCTAACCCCTGGACGTGGTGCGGCATGCTGTGGTAGCTTGGGCATGGCCGCGTCGCTTCAGCTCCAACCACCCGCTTCCTCTGCCTTCTCGATCCCGATCCATAAACACCCTCGCCTGATCGCCCATCATGGCAAGCCAACATCCGCCCCGTACGCCGCCGATGATGAGCCCCCGTCTGGATCTCAAGCTCCATGACTCTCCCTTTTCCGACTACTTTACCGACCGTTCCTCCTCCCCTCGTCTGACGCCCAGCAAAGCGCAGCGATGTCTGTTGGATCGCCTTACCCACATCGCCGGTCAAATCCTTCGCGGGGAGCCAGACTCCATGCTCGCCGAGCACCTGCAAGAAAATCTTGACGCGGTCCATGACATCCTCACCTCGCCCGACTTGCAAACACGCCAGTCGCCTGAGTTGGTCGACTCAGGATTCGTCGACGGCATCGACGACGACGACGACGACGACGACGACGACGACGATGCCGACGTCTTGAGCATATCGAAGCATTTGCAGGAGGTGGGCCTCGAGCTCCACGGTCGGATAGAGAATGGAGATGAGGAAACTGAAAAGGATGAACTGCTGGCCGAGCAGCAGGATGTCTTGGAACGCATGACCAAATTATCAGCCGAACTGCGTCAACGCTACATGGACACCAAAGTAAGCGCCCGGTTGTGTAGTTTAGCACGTGATGCTGACAAACATACAGGACAACTATACTCTTCTCGTGGCGAAGCTTGAAAACGCTACAGCCGACTTAGCTTCCGCTCGTTCTGAAAATGAAATTTTGCGCGCAGACAACGATTCTCTCCGTTCGGATCTTCTTTTCGACTATTCCGAATTGCTGTTCTTGAAAGTCCAACTGAAGGTCCTGGAAGTGCGTTCTGCACCTCACAAGTTTGAGAATGTCAACAGCGAGCTGCTAGAAAGCATCGAACAATGGAAGGAAGACTGGTTTATGTTGGACGCACGCTTCCATTCCCGCAAGGAGAAGGCTGGGAGTCTAGAGTTAAACAATCTCTTGGAAGAGGGAGAACAGCTGGCTATGGAAATGATGCAGAGCGTGGAGGAGGCTTCCAAGGCCATGGATTGTACATCGCTTCCGGAACCCAGTATGGGAGATGCCCTTGCCGAGGAGACACCGCTGGATAGCTTGTCAGGAGAAAAGGACTCCAGTCATGACCATGACCTCAGCGCGGATTCTCTTCATGAAGCGGAAACTGGGGCTTGCCGGTCTGATGGAACTACGGTCGAGCAACCGGCAGGTGACTTTGCGAATACCGACAGCCAGCATGCTGCATCCGAGGACATATGCACACCTCGCACTGAGCACACAGGCCATTGCAAGAAAAGCCTTGAAGCCACCCCAACGCGGACGGCTGCCACCTCGAATCCGGGCGTTCTCTCGACCATTTGGGATGCGCTCGCTGATGCTACTGGCGTCGGTATGTATGATCATTTCTATGACGAGTTCTGGGAGGAAGATTGAGTCACGACACAGCCTGCATTGTCGACGCTACCACGATACACTTTTGCGCCTTAATTTGCTACTCTGCGCCAAACTCGACGAAGTTGCGGGTGTTGGGGGCGTTTTGTTAGGTTTCATGTTTTTTTGTTTGCGCGGAACTGTTGCTCCATAACGATGTCATGCACGATGCAGGAAGATACCCTGTCCAGCGCTGTAAAATTGATCCGCTGGCTTTTTGTTATTTTTAAACTCTAAACTGAACATACACATACACACACACGAGTCTCCATATCTTAAGTAACACTCGAGCTTCTCGAAGCGCGCAAATATATTATACGCATAAACTTTATCATCAAGGTGGCCCTAGATGTTTCATTCCCGCAGGCTAAATCAAACTATGAATTTTTCTTCCCTCATTGTATTCTAGTAGAATGCCGGCCCCCGCTTTCGAGGCGGTGTTGTTTGGTGTCTGGTCACTTGCAAAAGTGGGAACAAGCTATGATCGTAGGGTGGTTGCATGGCTCTAACACAAAAAACTTACGAGGAAAGAAGAAAGCAGCTCAGGGGATATCGTTCTATACACTTTGACTGCAACGCATATTGCCGCAAGCGGCGGGATACAAAGACATCCGCCCTTTGCCCTCCCATGAGTTTCCCATACCCCTCAACACTATCTGCGCCCACCGCAGCACCCTTGCAGATTGACCCAGTTGCACTCATCGCGTAATTTTGCAGGTATCAACATAGCCCTCCCAGCAAGCAAAAAGTGAACATACGGTAAGAAAACATCTGCGCTCCAGAACATCAATGAGCGTGTTGGCATCTGGGGCAACCCACTATCGGTCACTATACCGTTCAACGGGCAATCGTCGCATTGGTACAAAAACCTAAATAGGCTTTGATTCCGTTTGCGGATGATTAACGCCGTTGGCAACGCTGGCGCTCCGCGGGCTGTTGCGCTCCGAGCGTGGCGGCTGTTGTGCACGCTTCTCCTCGTCGCCACTGTCATCGTAATCTTCGTCGACGTCCATTTTGCGGGCAGCCGGTTCGTGTTGTTCTTTTCGCTCCTCTTTGGGCGGCTCAGGGACATGGGGAGTTTGCGAGGGCGGAGGCGGGTGGATTGCTGGAAGCGACGGCGGATGATGCGCTGCCTCGGAAGGGTGGTAGCCGTCATTGATGTGTCGCTGTTCCTCTGCACGACGAGCTTCTGCCTGTTCTGGAGGAGTCCGCTGCACCTGTGAGGTTTGAGAAGCCATTCTCTCAGGCGGCGATGGTCGACGAGGTGGAGTCTCATCAAGTCGCTGACGCTTCTCGTCATTCATGGGCGGCTTCTGGGCGGGGCCGGCATCATCCTCCCATTCTCTAAGACGCTTGGGAGCAGTGGGTGTCCTGTCATCCCTGTCGCGAGCAGCGGCTTCGGCGGCAGCGAGAGCGGATGCCGGCGCTGGGGCACCACCGGCAATACCTCCAGTGACCCCTTGGTCTGCATGGTGATAGGTTTGATGCGAGTAGTGAGAGTTGGGCGAGGCCGCCTGACTCTGAATAAGAGGTCGCACCTCAGGAGGGGGACTTGCCACTCGAGCGTACGGCGGCATCGGACCTGAGCCAGGCGGGGGACCATTCATGGCGGCTGCAGATGGCGGAGGCCCGTTTGATGCGTGAGCCCCGTAGTTGGGGTTCGCGATCCTATTGGGTGGGACCGGTGGTTGGTTCTGCAGCGGGGTGGCGGCCGCGGGCTGAGGGGGCAGACTGGGAGGTCCCTGGTACAAATTGGGAGCGGCATTGTGACTCTTGGGGGAAGGAGACAGTCCTCTGCGAACAGGGGTTGGCGCGTTCAGGCGTGGCGGTTCCTGGTAACCTCTCATAGGCTCTTGCCTAGGGCTGGCTGGCCGAGCAGCGGGATGTGCGGCGGGAGGCCTGATAGCAGCATCTCGCTGCTCATAAGGCCCGAGCTGCTGCGGTGGCATCTGCGGATCTTGGATACCCGCTAAACGACGATTCCAATCATTACCCGCGCTTAAAGCGGGCGGTAACGGCGCTTGGGGGGTGGGTTGTGACGGGGCCGGACCTCCCCATTGTGGTTGCGGCGGGCCATTCATAGCTCCAGGTTGATAGGCCTGGGGGTGAACATCCTGCGGCAAGGGTGCACTATTTTGGTTTGGCATGCCGTTCGTAGGTTGGCCGTTCTGCAACAACTGCAGGCGCGCCTTTATGTGCACGTTGGATGGGTCAAGATCAGCCGCGCGCTGGTACGCATCCAATGCGTCGGCGGTCTGGTTGTTGCAGGATTCATACTTGAAGCAGTTAGGAGCTGCCCCGTGTGGCACTGGGTACAGAAAGCAAACTTACAAGAGTTCCGAGATCGTACCACACCTCGGAGATATTTGGGTTCAGGCGGATCGCTCGGGAATACGCGTCAAGCGCGTCGCGATACTGGTTAATTTGGTAGTAAAGAACACCGATTGAGCACCAGAACGTCGGATTCCTGCCGTCGCGATAAACCGCTTGCTGGTAGGCCTCATATGCCTTCGGGTACTTTTGCTGTGACATGTAGCAGCGGCCTAGCAAGTACCAACTCTGTGCATCACTCTGGTCTTTTCAGATGACGTTAGCGCTCGAAGCAGCAGCTTCGTAGCCACGCAACTCACCGGAATTGACAGATTTTTCCAAGTATTCAATCGCTTGCTCCTGGCTGTTGAAACTTCCACTCTGCTGGTGGTGCAGCCACCCAAGTTGCTGAAGAACCTTGGCATGGTTGGGATCGCGATCAAGAACACGTCTGTAGGCATTTTTGGCCGAGTCATACTATAGTAGAATCAGTTAAGAATTGCTCGGACGTAGAACGAGGATCCAAAGGCCTTACGTCTTTCTGTTGCTCGTAGACATGACCAATTTGGAACCAGATGTCCTCTTCGGTCAGCGGTCGTGGCGGATCATTGACAATGTACTTGAAGCACTGATTTCATTCCAGTCAGTATGCTTCACCAGAAACTCAAAGGGCGTACAAAGTCTTACTTCCAGGCTGGAGCTGAACTTTTGCTGTTGCTTGTATATTATACCAAGCCGGAAATAGATCTCGTTTGCCTTTTCAAACGTTGGATCCATGCGCATAACCTGGGAGAAAGCTTCTTCGGCATGCTCCAACGAACCATACCGGTCGTAGAGGATTCCGATGCCGTACCAAAGCTTCGGTTCCTGCGCATGAGTTAGAAATGGAAGTGCAGGCTTTTGAGGCAACTTGCCTTGGGGTCTTGGAGATGATAGAGGGCCTGCTGGTAAGCAGAGTATGCTTGCTGCAAATCGTCCATCATCAGATAGCAATGACCTGAAACGTGCCACGTGAGCTTGAGAATTCGGGTGCCAAGCTGGTAGGAGATGTTCTTACCAAGGCTTCCCCAGACGTCGCCATTGTTCGCGTCAATCTTGAGGATGTTTTTGAGGTATTCGACGGCAGCAGGGAACTGCTCCATGCTACGAAGAATGCATGAAATGGCTTGCATGGCGGGGACAGACCAGTTGTTGTGTCGCAGCGCATGTTCGTAGCATTGCCTCGCGCCGTCGAGATCGTTCATCATCTCCGACAGATTGCCTAGGCGAGGGTCAGATGGAGAGGCGAGAGGCTGGGGCTGGCGTGCATACCCAAGGCGAGCCAGGTCTGCTCGTTCGCGGCAGTGAGAACGGTCGAGGCGTTGCCTTTCGGCAGCGTCTGAAAGGGGGCGTGGCCATTGGCCTGGGGATGCCCAGGAGGGGCATGGTGCTGTGGCAGTCCCGTGGTCGGGGACGGCTGTTGGTGGGTGGCCATGTGCGGCGACGGGCCGGTGGCGAGCGGGCAGGTTCGCGAGAACAGACGCTAGGGCGCGGAGGGCGCGTGCCTCAACGGGAGACTAGGGCGCGATGGAGCGCGCGGGGATGGCGTTGGGTGGAAGGGGGTTGGTGGTGGTGTGGGATGGACGGCGCGCAGTCGCAGCGTGGAGTGGCAGGCGCCAGAGCAGCAGCGGGCGCGACAGGGCGGGTCAGAAGCATGAAACGAGGTCAAGCCTCTGATGGCGGGGAGCGGAGGCGAGATGGAGAGGGGGGGTGGAGAGATGGGTGTCGGGCGCGCAGGGCGAGAGGCACGGCGGAGAGGGACGACTCGAGGGTCGGGAGGAGAAGAGGCGGATGCCATTGCATTACATGAGAGGCATAGGGTTAGGGGAAGTTTTGCGCCCGCTCTGCTGAAGCGCGAGTGGACGAAAGGTGTGTGCACGCCAGCTGCTGGAAGCGGCTAGCCCCTTCATCACCCTTGGATTGCCTACCCACCGCTTGGCGGGGCCAGGGGGCAGACATGGCGGCTAACATGCGGAGAGCGTGGTACTGTAGGAACTCGTCACACGGCGCCATGCACCACGCACCTGTCTCACTCTCTGCGCGCGGTCGTCTGCGTTCATCGTCGCCCCGTCGCAGTCCGCGTTCGGATGCCCGCCCGATCGACCGCAACTGTGTCTTAAACATTATTTCTTCATTGTCGTCCAAGCTGCATCCCCCCCATGCAGCCCAACTGTCCGATGCAGTGCCACCCACGCAGCATGGACGGATCTGCCATGAGCATCATGCGTTGTTACCAGTTTCATGAAACAGCCGACCGACTGAGCTACAACCAGCTTCAGCTCCGCGTTACGTTCCCAGGAGGCGACCCCCGAAATCACATGACTCAACCCTATCCACGCCAACTTGGGTCGGGGAACTTTGACTCAGTACCTATGTAGTAGGTAGATATTTCCAACTATGGTTGGGCCATATGCCTACGAGCAGGTACCTATCTGGCCTGCAAAGTCACGTCCAGCCCACGTGATGCTGATGCACGCGCCACAGCTTAGTAGATGACGTAGAAACCCAGCTTCTTCGTGCAAGATGTGCCCGGCCTGCCGCGGGGTCATCCGAAGCTGATCGTCAACAGGAAATCTTCCATGTCACGAGTCTCTTGCTTCTATCACGCGGCCAGTACACGTACTCGGCTTCTCCAGGCCCTATCTCGTCGACACCTAAGCATACCCGCTGCCTCTACCAACAGGGAACCCAACTCAAATACGCTTGGTTCAAGCTATCTTCAGAGACCTCGGTCCACGGCCTACAGACAACACTTTTCAAGCGCTCGTATCATGGCTTCTGACGACGACTACGCCGCCTTTTTGGAAAAGGCAAATCAGGATACCGGTGCCAGCAGCGTGTCAGCTCAATCGAAGCCCATCAACACTCGATCTGTTGACACAGAGGTGCCGCAAATCCTACAGCAAGTCGAAGAGTATTATATTTCCGATGCCGATGAGCCATTTGAGCCTGTCAGCTTGAAGTGGGATGGCAATGGCTTGCCTTCAGAAGGTCGAAAAGCTCATGCAACTCACGCATTTCAGACAAGCAGCTACTGACAATAGTAACGACAGACGAATTTGCGACTCTTATCGGACACAAGCACTCCGTGTCTACGATTAGCCAGAAAGACTTTGATCCCCGCGGTCAATACACGAAGCTCGTCGAAGCGGTGAAGCAAGCTGGCAGCAATGACCTGGGCTTCTTCAGAGCGGAACATGGGAGCACACGAGTAGAATACTACATCGTCAGCTTGGACAGGAATGCAGGAAGGATTGTGGGTTTGAAGGCGGTGGCCGTGGAGTCGTGAACAGTTTCCTGACCATGGGCGTTGCGCTTCGCCATCATTGCGACATGCTGCCTTGAGTTCTTGGAATAGCGCGCATATGTAACCGGCGTCGAAGACACGATTCGTTCCACAAAATTGGGAAGAGAACGAGCGACGAAAGAAATGCAAAAAGGCTAAACCATTCGGGTACATTTCCCAATAGCACGCACGTGAGTACTTAGGACCCGACGTTCTAACGGCGATTAGCTCGACGGGTGATCTGCAGGCTGGCCTTGGCGATATCTGGAGAAAGAGATCGCGGATGGACGTGCCTGAACCGCTGATTTCTCTCGATTTAGACTGCGCCTCAGCCGGCGCCGGCTATTTCGTACTCTTGTGTTTGTACTTGGGCTTGCATGTAGCTCGGACAACGAAGCCAGCTACACTGTTTGTCATGCCGCCTCTTTGTGCAACCTTGCTTCGGCCAAGTCGACATGCCCGTTCCAGAGACCCTGCAAAGTAGCCAGGAACGACCAACCCCTTACGCGCGCCTGCCTGTCCTCGCCGTCCTGCTGCCTCGACTCTTCGTAACCTCCACGTCTGTCTTCCTGATTGCCTGGCAAAAGCATTGCAGTCGCAGTCGCAGTCGCCGTCATCGGCCGGTCGACCCGAGCATCCATTTCGCCGGTACATGCCCTGGCCTGGCCTGCTCGCAGCCGCATAGCTTCCTAGGTCGCCCCTTTAGAAATGCCCTCACCGGACCCATCTTCGCCGCCGGCAACAAGCCCTTCCAATGCTACACCACACATCCGTCTGAACTCTGCCAGTACTGACCTCGTTGTGGGAGATCCACCTGCTGTGCGACCCGCGCCTTCGCGTCAGATCTCATCGCGCTCCTTGACTTCAGATGGCGCGTCCACCGGTGGTCAATCGGCATTGGTATATGGCTACCCCGGGCCCGTGGCAGAGTCTGCCGAATTCCTCATACCGCCAAGGGTATCGCGGACCAGAAGATTTAGAGATGAGGATTCACCCTCTTCTATGCGCTCGCCCTCGGGCATATCCTCCCGGAGGACGAGCTGGAGCTCCGACTCTGGCACCAGCAGGGACAGTCGCATGGGGCCATTCGTCTCACCGTTCGACGATACCCGGACGCCTTCAAGAGCAGGGAGCGATGAAGAGAACATCAACACCCAAACCGTCTCGGAAAAGTACAATATCATGCCATCACCAGGGCTCCTGCTGTTCCCCGAAGACGTTGAGAAAGATGATTGGTTGCACAACCCAGACCCCGATGAAAAGGACACAAGAGATTGTGATATCTTCAACAGGCGTGGAGCGCTCAACATGGGGGGCCTGGCGATCCTTACCATAGGCCTGCTGATGCTCTTCATTGGATATCCAGTCCTGTACGTTTATGCGGAACTCAATATGTCCTGGAGCGTAAGCTGCATCCTAATGCGCACCTATTGACACGGATTATAGGACTTTTGCTCAAAAACTTCTCGAGCCACAGAATGCATGTTCTTCAAATCCCGATTGCATCGATGTCCACCAAGACCTGCTCAAGAATATCCGACATGGCTTAATCGACAAAGACACTCCAGAAAACGTGAAAACGAGGAAGTCTGTCTACACTGGGAAAAAGCAGACTTTAGTGGTACGAGTGCCTATAAATAGAGTTAGATGTCTCTAACCATGTAACAGTTCTCCGACGAGTTCAACGTGGATGGTCGGACATTTTACGACGAGGATGATCCGTATTTCCAGGCAGTTGACATCTGGTATGGTGTCACGCAAGACTTGGAGGTAATAGTTCGCCATCTACTGCATGTTCTTCGACCCTAACTGTCTTACAGTGGTATGACCCCGACGCCGTCATCACTAAGGATGGTACTCTAAACATTCGCTTTGATGCTCATTCTAATCATGATTTGGAGTACCGTTCCGGCATGGTGCAGTCATGGAATAAGCTTTGTTTCAAAGGTGGCCACCTTGAAGCGTCCATTTCCCTGCCTGGTCGTGGAGATACTGTTGGTTTCTGGCCAGGCTTCTGGGCCATGGGAAACCTAGGTCGGCCTGGATACGCGGCGACCACGGACGGCATGTGGCCTTATACATATGATGATACATGTGATGCTGGTATTACGCCGAACCAGAGCTCATCGGACGGTATCAACTATCTTCCAGGTATGAAATTGCCTGCCTGTACCTGCCGAGGCCAGGACCATCCCAACCCAGGCAAATCACGGAGCGCGCCAGAGATAGATGTCATCGAGGCCAGCAACGCTGCATTGGATGAAAAAGGAAATTTTATTGGCGTTGTATCGCAGAGCGCACAGTTGGCACCTTTTGACGTCTGGTACCATCCAGATTACGGTGAGTCCCAGTCCTCCCGACTTCATACTCAAGCTACACGACTTACCATGAACCAGATTTCATGGAAGTGTACGATCACTCTATCACCTCTATCAATTCGTACGCTGGTGGGCCTTATCAGCAGGCTATATCTGGTTTGACGAACCTCAACAACGACTGGTACGATGGAAAAGCTTATCAAAAATATGCCTTCGACTACACGCCTGGCAGCGATGGTCATATTACTTGGTTTGTTGGTGACGCTGCTACATGGACTTTAGACGCCCGAGCTGTTGCAAAGAACGGCAACATAGCTCAAAGGGTGATTCCTGAGGAACCCATGTCCATCATCATCAACTTTGGCATGTCCGACAGTTTTTCCGCCATCAACCTGACTGGAATTACTAGTACGCTACCGGCGACCATGAGACTTGATTACATACGTATATACCAGGATGAGGACAACCCCATTATGACTTGCGATCCACCAGGTTACCCAACTACAGGCTACATCAAAAATCACCCTGAACCTTACGCGAATATCAATCTGACGCAATGGTACGCATAAAAGTGCGAGGGCTTCTTACCCACACTGACTGGATGAACAGGTCACAAACGGACTATGTCTGGCCCAAGAACTCACTCACTAGTAATTGCGATACGTAATTATTGCGTTCCGCATTGAAGTAACGTCGACCGAAGCATGCCAACTTTGTTCCATTCCACCCCGTTCACAAATACGGCAAATGACCTTGATTGCGACTCTCACCAACGCGGGTTACACTATCTAGCTATGAAGGATAGAAGCCAGTTCGTTCAATTCGTTCATGGTTCTGCTCTCGAACAACCATTGAACGTTTACATTGCCCTTCGAGTTGGTGCAACAAGCTCGGATTCTCTTCGCAACCCATGGTCAGATATTTTCTTCAAACTTTTGCGAAACTCGCTCCCAATGCGTACAGCTACAACACTACGGCGGAGCGTTTATGGTTCAGTTGTTAGATATTCTGCCTCCGTCACCTCGTGAGTCGTGACAAGTCATGTATACATAATCCTCACGCCTCCTGCTCTCTTTGACTCTAGCTTGACTTCTGCCTTTTCAAGGGCCTTCTCCTTTGCTTTTGTTTGGATGATGTTCGTCTGGCCTCTGCTCTCAACGCTTCACCGAAATGACGCTTGCTTCATACCTTTGAACTTGATTGGCTCACACAAGTTTTCTTTTCGACATGGAGGGAAGTTTAGTTTTAGTCGTTCGAAATAAATTTTGCAAATGTAAATATTCATATGACTTAATAGAGGCCTAGTTTCATTATATACATCATAAGTCTATAATAGCAGAGTTTATATGAACGGCTATTTACTGAGATACACATATTTTTTCGGGTATTTTCGAAGATACACAAATTATTTCTGAGATAAACGTATCTCTCAGTATTTTTCGCTATATACACAGTAATCTATTACAAAAAAACATGTGTATCTCAGAAAAGAAAAAAATCGAAAAATATATATATCTTAGAAATTTGGCGAAAAAAAAAAAGCGTATATCTCAGAAATGTATTTAAGAAAATATGTATATCTCAGAAATATATTCGAGAAATATATATATCTTAGAAATTAGTTCGAAAATAATTGTATATTTCAGTACTATTTTTTTTTAAAAAAAATATATATTGCTATAAATAACAAATATACTCTTACAAAAACCGAATAGATTCTAAAAAAAATATATATAAAAAACGAATATACTTTTAAAAAAAAAATAGAATATATTCTTTAAAAAAAAGATTAAATATACTCTTAAAAAAATCGAATATATTCTTAAGAAAAATCGAAATATACTCTTAATAAATTCTGAATTTTTTTTGAAATATACTCTTGAAAAAAAATAACTAAATAGAACACAATATATATATACGTTTATTTATTTAGAATTTATTAGTTTCTTTTAAAAAAAATTAGAGATATTCTCAATTTCTTATAAATATTTATTAGTTTTTTTAATTATATTTAGGAGTTTATTCGCTTTTTAAGAATATATTTTTTAAAAGAATACATTCAAACTTTTTAAGAGTATATTCGATTTTTTAAGAATATATTCGATTTTTGCTGTAAAAAAAAATATATTCGATTTTTCTTAAGAATATTTTCTCTACAAAATATTTCTGAAATACACAAAAATATTTCTAAGATATATAATTTTCAAAAATATATATATTTTCGAATTTAATTTTTTAAAAAATATATATATTTTAAATACGTTTCTAAGATATATATTTTTAGTAATAAAATAATATATACATATAGCATAAAACTCTAAGATAAACATTTATATATCTTAGAAATACTATATTTATCTCGGAAATTTTATGAAAAAAAAATATATATATTTCGGTAAATAGCCGTATATTTAAATATTTTATATATTATAGTATATTATAAAATTATATATCTTACTAAAAAAGAATAAAACTAATAAATATATATTTTAACAAAAAATTTTAAAAGAAAAATTCTTGTTTTTTATTATAAGTATATTTTATTTTTTTTTTATTATAAGTATATTTTACTTTTTTTTTTAAAAAAAAAATATATTACTTCTTTTTAAAAAAAATATATTTTACTTTTTTAAAGGTTATTTTCTCTATTTAGTTTATTTTATATATATTTTAAAATAATATTTTTATTCTAGCTTAAATATATACACTAAGCTTTTATTTATAAAAAAAAAATACTAGATATATTTTTTTCTTATAAAAAAAAAGTAAAAGCAAAATATATTTATAAAAAAAGAATATGTTTCTTAAAAAAATAATTTCTAAGATATGCTATATCACGATTTTTTTTTAAAATATAAAAATTCAATACCTACTAATATAAACTAGAGTAATTTATTACTTAGATTTAGCTTAAATTCTTACTTTTTTTATTTTATAACTCTTAAAGCCCGCTCTAATCTATCTAATTTATATTAGGGAAAACTAAGGAAAATTAAATAAAATTAAATAAACTTATATTTAATTTAATTTACTACTCTACCCTTATAAAAATATAATAGTTTTATTATAGATTTAGGTTATTTAGGATATAAAATAACTTATAGCTAGCTTTAATTATTAGACTTATCTAATTTTTATATAGTAGAGTTTCGAAAAATT